AACGAATTAGATTTAATACATCTAAAATTTTAATGCCACGTAGATTATAATCCACAAATTAAATTATTTTAATGAAAAAAATAAAGTAAAAATATAGGAAAAGATAAATTTATTAATTCAATACTACGAGTATAAGAAATCCAAAAAAAATATACTAAGAAATATTTAAATGATAAACGCTTATAATAAAGTTTGATACCTATCATTATAAGATAAATTTGGATAGTATTTATGACAAGATATATAAATTATTCTTTAATTATAATTAACTTAAAATTTGTGACACCTACCATTATAAATTGACACATCATATATACGACACAAACAAAATTTCATATCAATAAAAAACCCCATCAAGCGCATTTTGTGTTAGTAATTTTGTATTAATTTTTGGTCATTAATGGCCGGGTAATTTTTAGTTTAATTTTTAAAATCCTATGTTTAAATTAGTATTTCTAATTATTACTTACATTGTATTAATTTGGGATACTCAACGATTTTTTTACATGCAGATCTAACACATCATACGACACAAATAAAATTTCGTATCAATACAAAATCCCATCAAGCGAATTTTGTGTTGGTAATTTTGTGTTTGTTTTACGTCATTAATGTCCGGGTAATTTTTAAAATCTTATGTTTAAATTTATATTTGTAATTATTAGTTACGCTGTATTTATTTAGGATACTTAACGATTATTTGTTTATGCAATGACGTACGAATAGATGTTGTATACTTAATATATGGATGGCTTTGGTTATTTTTAGAGATGATGAAAAAATTCTAGTGCATAGATTTTTTTTTATATCGCAACAATTTTTCATTTATTTATAAATATATTGATTTATTTTATATAAATGTAAAGATTTAATTTATATCAATTTCAGTTTGGCTAACATTTGACGGTTCAACTTATCCATTGATGTAGTAGGTTGGTTGTGGACGAGGTCGGTGATTCTATCGAAATAAAAGATATGGTAAAACAATGAATAATAATTTAGGATTTAAATTATTAAAATTTATCATTTCACATTAAAGATTTTATATAACGGAAAAAATATCATATTTACAATTTATTTATATTTAATAAATTCATTATAAATTATAGTAAAAAAAAATATGAAACTTTTGTAAATTTGTTTGAAATTATTAAATACAATAAATCAAATAATTAAAAATCTTAGATGAAAAAACCGTGCATCACACGGGTTTCCATCTAGTAAATAAATAATTAAAAGTAGTATGAGTAAGGTAAGAAGGATTCTATCTAGCTTACTAGTACCATGCTCACGGTACGTTACACGGTATTAAAAGAGGAAAAAAAACTCACTAATACAGATTCGTAGAAAGGGGAAAAAAGAGACTGGCGTTATGGAAAGGGAGAGTGAGATAGAAATCAGGGGAAAACATAGAGAGAACTTAAAATCATGATTACATACGTTGAAATTTTGGAAAAAAAGTGAGATAGATTGTGAAGAAGAAAATTGAAAACAAAGGAGAAAGAGTAAAATAAAGCAAAAAAAATTTAATAAATTAAAATAACATCAGTTTTAAGCAAAATAATACAAATTTTAAGGAAAATAACATAATTTTTTCAGCAAAATTATTTAATGTTTAAACAATATAATTCAGGGATTATTAAAAAAAAAAAAAAGTAACACAAGGTTTAAGCAAAAATAACATTATATTTTAGCAAAATAACATAAGGTATAATCTAAAATAACATCATGTTTAAACAAAATAACAAAGGTAATAATATTAAAAAAAAAAACCTATTTTTAAGCAAAATAACATAAAGTTATATGCAAAATGTCACGATAAAATAAGATGATTTTGGTAATATATGCAAGGTATTATCAAAATAACATATAGTTTTTATAAAAATAACACAACAACAAAAAAAAAAGAAGTTAAAAACAAAATAACACAAGTTTAACTTAAAATAACACAAGTCTAAAAAACAAGTACAAAGTTTTTGAGTTCAAATAGACATTTTCAAAAAAACATATACTCAATTTAAAATAACAAGTTTTGAAAAACACGTGTTCAACTTAAAATAACACAGTCTCATCACAATTGACTTCATTTGATGTTAATTTAATGAAAAAAAAATATAAACTATAAAATAAATATTGAATAATTTTTGTAAAAAATAAAAATAATTGATTTTAAATTTACTTACTTATCTTGTTTTAATGATTTGTCCCTTTTTCTATCAATTCATGAATGTTAACCCATTTTGGTGTTGTGAAATTGAAAATTCACATTTAATTGAACAATTTTGTGCTTGTTTGTAGTAGTTAATGCAAAATATGGATGAATATTAGTAGTTTTTGTTGATTGAAAGAAGGTTTTAATGATGTGAAAATGAAAGTTTGAGAAATTAGAGAGAGAAAAGGTGGAAATTAAAGAGAAAATGGAGAGAACAATTATAACACCCCCAAATCTCCCTCTACGTAAATACTATATTTATACGTATAAAATATCGTAGAGATAGACTTGGGCGTATTACCGCCATTTAAAAACGTAAGGCTTACTTAACTACTAAAAATGGCAGTGGAAAATAACTGACTTTATTAATGTTATAATAACCATAATATATAGTTTGAAAATACTCTAAATAAAAACATGTATGACTCATGAATGAGTAAATTCCTAACTAGGTGATCCCAATCCCGACTCAAGTATGTGCACGATCAACTCCACACCTGAAATCAAAACTGCTTACCAATAATGTTAAACAGGGCGAACCAAAACAAAAAGGAAAACGGATTAGAAAAACGCTAAGTACATTTAAGTGCAAGGCATGTAAATACTTTTATTAGGTAAACATGCTTTCGAAAATAATTGATTATTTTGTACAAAATATATTATTTACACAATGATTTTTATTACTTAAAATCTAGCAAAATAATATTAAAAACCAATGAGGAGGTCCGAAAATATGGCCTATAAGGCTCAATATTTTCGGCCACCATATGGTATTTTTGAGCTAATTATTTTGGTATATAATTCTTTTATATTTATTATCTACCTTAAATCCAATCATTTCCTTAATTACTATTTTCCACCTTACAAAGATTTGATCATCTTATTTATTTAACTTAAATAATAATTGATTAATCCCTAAATAAAGCCACTTACCATTTGATATTTCATGACTACATACTTACCTTATTTCTTAATTTTAATACCCCGTATGTTTGAAATGTATTTTTAATTAATTAATTAATTAATTATTATTTTCTAAAAAGGGTATATTAGTAATTTATTCTACTATTTGAATTTTGGAGCCAAAATGATATTTGAATTTTGGCACCAAAAGTATTTTAAAACTTAATTATTATTTTTGGATTTTGAATAAGATTTATTATCTATTTATTTTATTTTAAAAACCAAATTAATTATATATTTCGGATATTTAAATAAAAAAAATTATATTTTATTATTTATTTATAAGGACTGAAAATTCCTAATTCAATTACTACGATTTTCGGATTTTCTATGTGTAGGAAATCTGATTTTCTTAGTTATTTTATTTAGTGAATATTTGTTATTTTGTTAATTAATTATTTTATACAATAAATATTATTTACATAATTATTTTTAAGCCTTAAATCTAACAAAATATTTCCTAAATACTACAAGGATGTCCGAAATTTTGGGGCTATGGAAGCTCAAAAATTTCGGCCACTTGGTTGGATTTTTGGGTGATTTATTTTGGTAAATTGTATTTATAATTATCTACTTAAAATCTCTTATTTTCCTTAATTTTATTTTTCACCTCCTAAATATGTGATCATCTTATTTCCCTAACTTATTTTATATTTGATTATTTCCCAAGTAAACCTCCTTTTCCATATTATTTTTTGTGACAACATACTTTCCTTAATTTTATTATTCTTTCTCATCTTGATATTAAACTTTCTATAATTATTAAGCTATTTCTCCAAGTAATTTCCTTAATTCTTTTTACCACAATTCTTTCCACATTCTCTTGCCATAATTCTTGCATGAGCTATCCTATAAATACCACCTCATAACACTTATTTTCTTCACACCAAAAACTCAATTCTCTTTTTCTCCTCTTTTCTAAAAGAAAATCAGCCCGTATATTTTTAGATCCAATTTTCGGGCACTTCTGGTCAGTTTTGGGGGTTTTCTATTTCATGAAAAATTGTTCCTCTCAAAAAAATACTTGAGGTTAGGTTCAAGAATCACCTAAATAGGAGTTATATTGAAGGAGTTATGGCCTATGCAAGTTTTGCCTATTCTTTCCAACGAAAATCCAATTCTCTTTAATTTCTCCTCCTTTTCTTTTCTTTTCTTTCTTGCGCCACCACCACAAAATCCACGACCTCCACCTCCATCCACCTGCCGGAAGGCTGCCCCACCTTGCCGCCACCTCTCTCTCTTTCCCTTGGATTTCTACCTTTTCTTCTTCTTCTTCTCTTCTAATATTTAATTAATTATTATTATTATTATTATGGGGGAGTTATAAAAATTATTATGAGTGGTTTTAATTAAATAAAATCAGATTTTTATTCATGTTTATGAAAAATAATTTAAAAGGTTCATGTACATATAGTTGGGGGGTTTTTAATTTAATTGTTGTGATTATTTGTTAACCTTATATTAATTAAGATTATATTTATTTGTAGGGTGTGTTAGATCCAAGTGCTTGAAGTTTCTTTGTGTTTCCTAAGCAAGGACCAAAGGTATGTTAGGTGGCTAGATACTTTTGAAATTGATTGGATTGTATAAGCATGTTTTGCATGATTTTTATGATGATTGAATTAAATTGAATTGAATTATGATTTATGGAATAAAAGCATGTTAAAATAATTGGTTTGATGAATAAATTGGAGGATTAATGTTATGTTTGAATGATTTGAATTATCTATCAAGTTTGAATAAAGAAATTGATTTGAAAAGTTTGATGAATTATTTAAAAGGTTTTTCAAAGGAAGAACTACTATTGATTGAAAGGTTATCAATATGAGATTTAACTCTCAAGTATTTATTAAAAGTTTGATTTTAAAATCATGTTGAATTTAATTAAAAAAGAGTTGAGTAATTATTGGAACTATTGAGTTAAAGAGGTTTATTGAATTATTTCAAAAGCTTTACAAGCATAATTATTATATTAGTCTCACTATGCGGATTCATTAAAGACTATGAACTTTGTATGACCTAGCCTTTCTCCAAGAATAGTCTTGAAATAGTAGGAGACTAGCTTGAGGGGGTGCACATTTAGAGAGGAGGACACCAGCTAAAAAGCGTTAGCATAAAATTTATAAAGATCACCTTCTCATATATTCTAGGAAAATGAGGTGCAGTAGAATCGCCGGGTCTCTAACAGCAAGGGCGAAAATTGCTGAATGTATGTCTCTTCGCGATTTGCAGTTTATAAAATTGATATGAAACTTTGATTTCTATTTTGTTGCTTTGATGTAATTTATTATTGGTGATTTCGCAACTAGCTGAGATGAATTCATTTTTCTGGGAAGAAGAGTTCTTGATGTTAGTTTTTTTTTTTTTTTTTTTTCTTTTTTCAATTGCAGAATTATTTCAGATTTAGTGTTAGATTCTAAAATACTCAGCTTCATAATTTTGGCTATATTGATTTGCATTAATTTTATTCAAATAATACTTTTGTTTTAATTGAATTGACAGTTCATATAGCACTTGTTACCTCTGTTGTTGTGGTGCCTAGTTCAAGTAAGCTCTGCGTGTATATCTATTTGATCCTAAAATGCCCCATAGTCCATAATCTCTCTCTTTTTGATGCTGGTAAGATATTGGATTGAAGACCTTGTATTACCGTCGTACATATCTTACTTGACTTTCGTGCATCTCTTTACAAATTGAGAGATCCAGATTACTTGTGAATATCTTATGAAGGTAATGATTGATTGATTCTCAATGTTGTCTGAATTATGTTGCTACTTTTGGTCAACTCAAGCTAAGTTTCTATATATGAGTATGACTACTACTTTTGGTCAACTCAAGCTAAGTTTCTAGATACAAGATTTGGATTGCTTATTTATATTTATTTTCTTAGCATGTCTGAATATGACTACTACTATTAATTTCTTAGGAATAGTCTATTTGGTTTTCTCTACCCTTAAACATGGATGATGTATTTATTAAATTTTTCTTTTTTACCATGTCAATTATTTTTTTCTTTTTTCTAAGACGACTTACTTTCTATTGTTAACTGGCTATATATCTTTATTATGGAGTATAAAAAAAATGGGAGAACAAGATTGTTTTTGTTGTGCTTATTCTAGAAAGTTTGTTTGTGCTGCTAGCTTCTGTAACCTTATAATAGAGTCACATTAATTTGGAAGACCTCTGTACTTGGCTTCTTTTGTCTGTCTCCCATTATTAGTGGTTGCGTGAAATTATTCATTACAATAATTATAATGAATTACCTTCTTGTTAGTACTTGCTTTGTTTGTATTGTTTAGATATTTGATTCATAGACAGTAGATAAGTCGAGGTTTTTTCATGTATACAAAGTATTATTATGTTTTATTGTGCTTCTATTTTATGTCAATTCTGAAAATTTAGCTTTTTATTCTACGTTTGAAGCACGATTATGAAGAGTTTAGACTTGTTTGATATCCTCTTTTTGATAAATTGTTTTTATTTTGTTTAATTGTTTTTGATTCCGTATGTATTATGATTTTTTAGGTAAAAGTCAACATTCTTTGATCTTTCTCTTTTGTAAATGGTATCTCTGGCTCAGGTGGCCTCTCACACTATGGTCTATGATCTTGACATGGATATGTGGCCAAGCATTCATCATCAAAAGAAATACCTTTGACTAGCTTAAGGTGTAGTCATTGGCTGTACCACACTACAAGATACATGTAAGTTTTTTACCACTTTACAGAATACATGTCAGTTTTGTGTATTTACAAGAAATAAGTTCTAAACCCCCTACGAAATTATGTTCAAAATGAAAAAATATATGACTTTTCCTATGCTTGCTGGCTTGTAGTATCTTTTACAATGGCAACTAGCTGTGATCAATAAGTTGATCAAATAAGCTGCTATCAAATGGATAAAAATTCACATCAACTTGCACTTTAATAGTCTCTGAGTGCTAAACACTGCACCCATTTCGGTGTATGGTGTTTAGTGGGGTGCGACAATGAATTATATATACTTTTGACTATATAGTTATCAACTACATTTTAGTATTCTTGTTTATTTTTTTATTTAATTATTTATTTATTTATTTTTTTATCTTCCTATTTAATTTCAGCTCTGGCATATTTAGAGTGTGTGCTATTGTGCTCTCATACTCTTTCTTATATTCATTGTAGAATGATGGGTGTTCTCTACAATTATTCTTGAGTTATAATTGTCACTACTCTGTGGGTTGCCACTGCTTGAGGTTTGTTTATCGGTCCCACAAGGTAAAAGTTGAATTCATACGTAGGTTGCTGCTTGTTGTGGTGGGTCCCTTCATAAAAGTTATAGATCTCAAAAAGTTATCCAATCTAGGCTCAAGAATTTCTCAATTTGGAATTTTGTGCTAGGAGTTATGCCTTCTGGAAATTTCTGTGGTCTGCTGACTTGATTCTATCGCAGCGGGCTGTTATTTTTACTTGACGATTGTGTGGGTTGTTGTGTTGAGTTGGGTGGGCTTGCTGAAATGAATACTCTGGCTTTTCTTATTTGTTTTAGTATATTTTTCCTCTAGTTAATTATATATTATTGTAGCTTAAAGAAGAACTGCGGTTGTGTTCTTGCATTGAAATGCTTGATTTTGGTGCTTTACAGAATATGAAGTGACTTAACAGGGGAAGGATTCGTTACATACACTGAGGCAATTGAAATGCTGACTTGGGTTCTTCACAGGTTATCAATCCCCACCAATTATTATTGTTTCATGTAAATTCATACTATTAGAAAAAGTTGCAGGTTGATTACTATTTTCTGATTATCGTATATACACACTCATATATATAAGCTCGCTGTATTTTCCACAACTTTACAAGTAAACTAGCTCTCTATTGAACATACACCGACAAGGTAAAGGTAGTAAGGTACTAGTTTTGCCATTTCTATTAAAATATCCATTGAACTGAATATTGAACTATATGATTTGGTTGATGCAATCCCATGTCCATTATATGTATTTATGACATGTTCAAGTAAGAAATAAATAATATGCCTTGAATTGATTTTCCATGTAAGAGAGGTTTAAGTGCAACATTTCCCCTATGATTGCTCTGAAGCTAGTGATATTTATTATATTTTAACTACCGTTTTCTATTGAGCTGTGCGGTTTTCTGTCTTCTTTATATAGGTTTATTAAAAACTTTGTTAACTCAAACTTGGATATGAGTGTCTGGCCCTACTGAAGTTTCAGGTGTGAAACTACAACTTTCCCTCTCTTATCCCTCCAGCTTCCCTCTCTCCATTAAAAAGAAATGTATCTTTTGCATTTGCTCATTGCAGTTTTTATGCGGTTGTGATTTTGATTTCTTCAAACTGTTAATATGCTTTTGTCATCCTAGGCCACACTAAACCACTAGTTCCTGCCAATGATCCAGAAACATCAAAGGGTGTGTTGTGACTTCAAGGCCAACAATGATTGGTCACAATGTGAGTTTTGCTTTATGCCCCCTTGCAAGCAGACTAAGGAGCAGCTAAATTAGAGATTGATAGAAGTTTTTTGTGATGAAATTAGCAGATTTGTTCCACTACAACTAGTTCCGAATGAAGTATAAGTTGGAATCATATCTTTTGTAATAGAGAACTCATTACTATGAGATATTATACATGTACTATAATATTTATATTATGCAATAAAAAAAATTGGCCTAATATTGCTGTGTATATATTGGTAATACTAGTTTCAGTGTGAAATAATTTTTTTGGTAAATATATTCTAGATATTTAATACAAGAAAAAGCATTTCCAACAAAAATATAGACCGAAAAAAGCGTCGTCAAATTACTGAACATCAAATATAAGAAATATGGACACGAAAAAGCGTCTCTAATTTTAAGATTCAAAAGAAGACGTAAAAAAGCGACACTAAAATTGATAATGTGCCAACTACTGCAAGTTTCGACACTTCGTGTAAAAATTTGGACAAATTAAAGCCGTCGAGGTTTGCGACGCTTTTTGTGACACCTAATTTCTCGACTCACTTTTTCTCGACGCTTTTCTGAGCGTCGAGAAACAAATTTTCGACGCTTTTTAGCGTCGAAAAAACGCTTTAAAAAGGACGGATTTTCTAGTAGTGTGTTTTAGTTGGGAGAAAATTTGTAGCTTCCAAAGAGATAAATATCGATGTTGTATAAGAAATTAAGAATGTCTTATTGATTGTGATGACTTAAAGTTATAGGTTATGTATATTTCAGATCAATCCTAATATGGTTAACTGGATCTAAATATAAAAATTACGCTAAGAACAATCGTGTTACATGTGTTCATAAAATTGAAAAGGCATATGATCGACTATAAAAATTGTAACTAATCAATAGTTTCTCATGTAATTGGATTTTGAAACGTGCAAGCCTTGCAATACTCTTTAACATAGGATGTACATTAATTATCTAGAATGGTAAAAAATTATAAGTTTTGACATCGTCATCAACAATAGTTCCTTAAAACATGGAAAGATAATACAAACAGATTAATTTCAATTATTTTCAAATTAGATTTTTTTATTTTTATTATTGTTACATAAGATGGTCCCTATAAGGTCATAACCCCACATGGGTTAACATGAACTTGTTAACAACTAGATACTTTTTGAGTGGGGTAAAGGTAGAGGTGATTAAAGTTGGCACGGCCCGAAAATTTATTTTTTTGGGTGGGTTAGGGAATGCGTTTTTATGCTTAATTTATTTGATTTTTTTGTCCCGGCTCGAAAATGGCCCGAAAAACCCGCCCGACCCGACCATTTTGGGCAGGTTTGCACACAAAAAATTTCGGCCCAAAGCTTGGCCAGACTCGGCCCGCCCAATGATCACCTTTAGGTGAAGGGTAAGGTAAAGGGATCTCTTCTCTCAAACTCTTGGTGGGGTTGAAATACCAACGTTTCATTAGAGGTCAAACTTACCAGCTCAATATTATTAGTTGAGTCAATTTTGACAATAAAATAAACTAATCTAAATTCATACAAAAAAATATTAAACAAAAAAATTCACACAATTTTTTGGTAAAAAAATGAATAAATAAATAAATAATCACACAAATTTCTATACTTTATTCGTTTTTTTATTGCACCATGAGTGATTTCATGCTTGTCAATGCATTACTTTGACTATTAATATATTTAATTATACTTTTGTAAAAATTATAAAAAGTTGATATTTGAAAAGTAGATTTCGAGACAATTTTAACTAGATCCAACATGATTATACTTTTCCTTACAGATAAATCACAAAAGATGGTCAAAGAAAGTTATGTTAATAGTGTAAAAGTCCTTATGGTGCAATTAAAGAAAAACGGAGGAAGTATATACTAAAACAGAGGGCACTAGACGCGAATTTGACACATGTCACTATCTCATTAAAAAATTTCCCGCTCATTTTCGCAATCCTAAATAAAGCAATTTCAATAGTACATGTATCTGCCATCTTTTTATTTCTTATAAAATCTTAGGAATAGATTTTTTTGGTTTAAGAAATGATATTTACCTAAATAAGTTATTATCACATTTGACAACAATATACAATCATATATAATATAATACTCTTATTTAAACCAATAATATACAAAGTATATAATAAAATAATTTGAAGTACAAAGTTGTCAAAATTTATTTTGGCCATTATATAATCATTTCAAATTTCTTCAATACTTATTTCAAAAAAAAAAAAAAAAATTTAAATACTATGTACATTAATAAGAATAAATTTATTTTTCTTGATCTCCTACACATATATAGTATACATATAATTATAAATATATAAAATTAATAAAATGTTCGGGCTACATTCTTTTCTAAAAAAAAAAATAAAAAAAAAAATAAATCAAAACACTAGAAGCAAACTAAACACATGACGTTGTCTCATTAAAATTTATTTTGGCCGTTGTGTAATAATTATTTAATATAAAATTAATAAAATGTTCGGGCTACATTCTTTTCTAAAAAAAAAAATAAAAAAAAATAAATCAAAACACTAGAAGCAAACTAAACACATGACGTTGTCTCATTAAAATTTATTTTGGCCATTGTGTAATAATTATTTAAAATATCGTCAATACTTTGTAAAGTGAAGTAAATCAATGTATTTATCTTATTCTCCTACACATACAATAAAGAATTATAAATAAATAAAATTAATAAAATGTTTTGACTACCTTCCTATAAAAAAAATTATTATAAATAATAACATTTATGCACATAAGAAAGAATATTACTACATTACTAAGATAGTAAATAATTTGAGTTACTTTAATTTTCAATGACTTTTTGTGGTTCTTTTAACTGCTAGGCTCTATTCTCTTCATCACATATTTATTATGTATCGAACTACTATTAAATTGATTACTAATTGATAACAGGACTAAACAAAATTAATGTTATAACATGCTTAATAAATTATGGAAAACAATTGAGCTATTCCACTTTATTGGCCCCTTTTATAGATTATAATATTGGTTTAAATAGGGTATAGCATTAGATTGTTTAAAACACATGCACACGTACACACACATATATTTGGGCTATTGAGATTGTACTTGCATTGGCGATTGGGACATGGGGTGGGTTACGGGCATAGGTTTAAGATTATTGTATGTACCTACAAACATAAAAATCATATTAAAAATATATATAATCGACTTGGTGAGGAGATGATTTATATATCCATTACTCTTAGGAGAATATAGATTGAAACACTTTATTTTTTAAATACATTAAAAGCTAACGAACGCTCTGGGGACGTCGGATAAGATAACTAAAAATAGAAATATTAACTTGAAATAAACATTAATTACACCGATCGACGCGTGGTTTTGACATGCATTCCCAAATTGATACCATTTTAGGAACTATTTTAAAGGGTTAATTATCTAACGCCCCGATGATGTCCGTTAGCAAGATCCAATTATATATTGCGGGAAAGAGAAAGAGTGTGTGCTACCACGGTAGAATGGACCAAAACAAAAATAGGTAGAACTACAAAGATTAACGGGAGTTACTTTGTAATTACCTAACATATTGAGACTTTCACGCTCCAACTTGATGTGGTATTACATTGATTAATAATAATAGTAATTAATGTTATATATAACTTTAATTTGTATTGAACTACTATTTGCGTAGCATTAATGTAATAATGTAGTATTGATATATAGATGATTGAGCTGTGATTAGTTAGAACAAGAATATCATACTTATATACCCCCTCCGTTTTTTTTTTTTTTTAATTTTTAATTTTTTATTTATTTATTTATTTGCATCACTTGGTAATGCACGGAGTTTTAGGAGAGTAATGTAATATTGTGAGTGGGTGAATAAACCATTATAGTAAAAGTAATATGGGGACCATGAAAGAGAAAGTATGTGTGATAGATAATATATTTTTACTATTAAAGTGGAGACCATGAAAGAGAGAGAAATGATAAAATAATTTGAGTGGGGGTGTAAAGTAAGAAAAAATATATTTCGTAGTATAAAGTTACCAAATATAGAAGTGATGCAAATAAAATAAATAAAAAAATAGAGGGAGTACTTTACAGGGTTGATAGTTATTGTAACATACTAATAAACAATCTATTAACATTAAAGAATCCATTAATACTCATTAAATAAAATACAATTTTAAATTGAAAAAAATTAATAAAGTGAGGTTTTTAAATCGTGCTATTACACGGATATTATACTAGTTTATACAAATAAAGTGAAATTCTTTTGTAAAACAGCTTGATTGATTAGAATATATTTTTTTTCGAATATAATTTATTGGTATACTTCACAAAATGCTTTATCAATAAACCTGAAATAAAATTCAACAACATGACACTAATTTAATCAACTCACACTAGTACATAACGTGTACAACCTTAACATCATCTAAGACTGGACCACACATATAGCCATAATCAAGCCTAGTGTGATAAAATGCACTCCAAAATGTAATTCTTGTTCTGTCAGAAATTGCATGAAACTTGAGACTTGCAGTTGTAAATCCACCTTTAGCTTCAGAATTGAAATGTACTTTAACATTTTCTTTACCAGCAAATGCTTCAACTTCCATTGAACTAGGACAATTATTTTTGGCGTCACCAACTTTAAAAGTAAGGAGGTATGATACATTAGGTTTAGTATATATAATTTGAGCAATGACACTTTCTCTTCCTCCGACAAGCTCAATAGCAGATGATCCGGAGGGTACGTAGAAATGTTTCGAGTCAATGAACTTTACAGGCCTCACTGATTCAATGATCCAGCCAGGGAGTGAGGAGACGGAGTCATGGGGATGTGAAGGGATGAGGACTCCTGTTGAGAAATTCTCAAATACATATGGATCGGTTTCAAACCCTCCGTTTTTAACTAGGTTACTTGTAAAAGATTAAGTAGAACATTGTAACGAGTCAATAACCATGGACTCAAATTGGGAAATTTCCTGTTTCTCATATTGAGAAACGAAATTTGTTTCTCATGGGGGTATTTTCGTAAATAAAACAACAATTTTTTCATTATTGTGGGCTCCACAATTGAATAAAGTTGAATAAAGTTGTTGGTTTATTTACAAAAATGTCATGTGAGAAATAAATTTTGTTTCTCACTATGAGAAACTAGGGCATCCTCGACTCAAATTAATGTAACATGTTGCAAATGTTTTGTGGTACAACCGTACAACAACTCAAGGATTATTAACCCATGAGATCAATTAATAACAATTTACTTTTAATGTTAATTTCTCCCTCCCTCATTTGTTTCTTAGTGAACAGCGAGACGATGTATGAGATAACTCTTGAATCATCCATATATAGCAAACTAATTGACTAAGCTAGTTAAAGTATTTAAAACATGAAGTTCTCAATAACCTTTAAATTAAACAAATAAATATGCATCTGATGTAAGTAGATGTCAATTGGCTTAATTGACCTCTAGGGTAATAATGTAAACGAGATTTGATCTCAGGTTTTAAGTATCATTTTCAAGACTTTAACCAACTAAACTAGTTGTCATTCACTGCAACATTTTAATAGTGTATTGAAAATTTAAAAGATTAGTATGATGACAATATAAACAGTTAATTAAATAGTCAAATAACTAGGGAAAAAAGGAAAACATGAGTGTGGTAACCCGTGATGTAGATGCCTTAATCTTAATAAAAAAATATAGAAATTTACCTCCGATGTAATGTGGTAACAATATCTCTTTAATTGCAATAGCATCCAAGAGTGGGCCACAAGCTGGATCCTCTTCAATTCCAGGGTTCTTCAAAGTGATCTTAACATTTTGAGAAGTAGCCTTAAAAGCCCAAGCATAAGTATCTCCTCCATCACCACTAAACAATGTTTGAATAGGGAGATCTACTGTGGTTCCAGAAGCTGCAACCCTAATAGACTGCTCTTGTGCACAAGTTCTTATTGTGCTGAAGGTGATTGAGTAGCATGATTTTTTTTTAGTACTACTTCTTGGGAGATAGAGGCCTCATTCCCTAACCTAATCGCGTGTACACCACGTGGGACGTTGAAGTAGAAGCCACCTGGTTGAGGTCCACCTGATATGTACTCTACTAAGCCATTGAAATCCCATTCGGTAAGAGAATGTTTACCAACTATAACAGTCTTCTTCATGTTTGATGGCTTTGGTGCCTCTTCAAAGTTCCCATTTGGAAGAAATCCTGCAAATAGATATTGTTTTCATCATACAAATAAATCATAGATACAATACGTGTAAAACTCTTTGTGTACAAAACTTACAAGCCTATCAGCTTACTCCATCTATAACGGCCAGAGAGATGCCCAAATCAATGAAAGCAATGTGAGATTTTAAATGTTGTTGATACGTGTCACACGTAATATTATGTGACATCTCTTATCATTAGAAAGGAGGTGGAATGTGACTAACAATTTTTACCTAAGTTTTAGGAATATATGTTAATAATCATGTAGATCTATGTTCAAACTTTCCTTATACTACATGTAAATTGGATTAACCCAATAAAGTTTCACCTCTCCTATTAAGAGGCGAGAGCCAATCAATTATGGCCCAATCCTTGGATGTGAGCTGGGCCAATTTTCATTCGTGACCCACCTTTTTTTTTTTTTTTTTTTTTTTGCCAATAACGAACTACCTCCCAACCATGTTGTTGTTGTCATTTTCGATATATACACAAAAAAATGATTTTCTCTACTCGTATTTAATTTGGGAGATGTAAGAATAAATATAAAATAAGATGGTAAATAAACGTAAAGTTAGAGTAAAGATAAGTAAAACTCATCAGGAGTAGTTGCATAGATGATTGAAGAAGCAATATAATCACTGCTGTTTATCATTAGCATAAGAAGGACAAAGCAAAGGGTAGACAAACCCATTTTGATCTACGGAATACTCGATAATAGATAATGAGAGAAAAATTGGCGCTTCCGAGAACGGGAAAGTGCAATGAAAACTGAGAAGTTAGACTCATTATATATACATATACATTATACATTGACTCTGAAATTAACAATAATTTATGTTAACATATAAATTAAACTATTCTCGGTCCTTTCTTAGCACTCTCTGTGTTCCAATTAATTATTATGAGTATTTTCTTTTGTACATGAGCCACAAAAATTAGTGATGTAGACGGAATTTGATTTTAAGTTTTGTTTACTACATTCAAGACTTTAATTTAATCAACTAAGCTACTCCTTAGTTGTGATATTTAGTGAATGAAAAAAATTAAAGAAAAATCATTTATTGACTAATGCTTCCCGTCTTTTCTAGATTAATTTTTGACTAATTAAAATTAAGTTTAGTGACATGTTAAATCCGCGCATTTTGTTGTTTATTGATAACTTACATCTCAAATTGGAAAATTTAAAATGGAATGAAAGGAGTATCATTTTATCAAACTTCGGACACATACTAGAGGTCTAGCTAGAGTAACACGTAGCCAGTACATACGTGGGTAAAAACTAAAAGGTTCACATTATTAAGAGATAATCTTGTGATTATTTCTTGATTATCTTTTCCTTATTTAATTTTCTGTTTTTATCTTCTTAGTCAATATCTTCTAAGTTAGTTCCCTCATTCTAGCCATAATCTTAGGCTTATTATGTGCTACTGCTTTTCGTTTATTGTTGCTGTTGTACATTATAAATATGGCTAACTTTGCCTTGTGAATATTCATCAATACAAATTATAATCTTTATAATTCTTATATGGTATCAGATTGGTTTTGATCCCATTACACAAAACCTTGCTTCCGCCCCTTTATCATGATGACTGAAGCTATCATACCCAACCGTGATGATCCAAACACCCCATTCACCGTGATGATCACATAGAATATGAAGTGAGTGTTTGAGAGAAAGAGCGTAAGTGAAAGGTAAACATTCCATGGGTTGAAGCCGGAGTTGAATTTTCCAATTTTATATAGAGAAATTGTTTAAAAGACATCCTAATATTAAATACAAGACGACTTTTTTTTTTTTTTTTTGAATGAGTCACAAGAGCAAACAAATTACAAATTGGGGTGGAGGATTAAAACCTAACTATGAGCTATTGACCTATCGTACATAGATTCTCAATGTTAATCAATAGGTCAAAACTTTTTTAATAAAAAACGAATATTTGTGAACAGAAGGAATTATGCAATAACGTACTAAATTAGGATGGAGAGATACGAAATTCCAAGTACATAATCACAAAATCACTATCAACACAATGAGATCGAGGCTAGCACAACAATGAATGAGAATTCAATTAATCAAAAGACAGAAGACTAGTGGAAGGATCGGAATGGAATCGTGTAGTGCGTGAGTCCACCAAATAAGCCGTGAGATATGTTACAGTCTCTTCTTAATCACTAGCTAATTACTGCTCACACTGTCCTATACTAAGAGTTGCTTCTAATTTAAGGTTTTCTTCCTTCTTGCTCGGTTTCTGTCGTACTACACTGTACTACAAACAATACTCTACTTAAATTCTGCTGGGAATTAATATTTTAATTAACTATTTAAACAATAATATTAATATTAATATATACTTTGATCACATGAACTTAAGACCTCTACTTTAATTGCTATATATAGATATTATTTTGTTGTAAAACTATGTATTATATGGCTAAGCTAGTTAATACCTTATTATTAAGGAGTGTAATATAGACTAGCTGGTTTACCTTACAATGTTGCTAAATATTTGGTCATATCCTTCCTAGAAAGTGGGGCTTTAAGAGAATTCCGTTGAGATTCCAAAGCTATTTAACAAGTTATCTTTGCCTTTTGGTCAAATACAATACATAAACTAACAACCATAGAGTATACATTAGGAATTACCCTCGTGAAGAGGGCTTTCTAATGTATAATTTTTCTTACCTTTTCAAAAAAAAAAAAAAAAAAAACACCATAGAATATTTTCATGGGACGCGTAGAGGCAGTAGATTTAGCTAGGTACCACTAAAGAGGAAAGTGGGAAGAACTATAATCTGATACGCTAAAAAAATGTCAAAACATATACTAGCTACGGATGGTGTCCTAAAATGCCCTTAAAAACGTCACTAAACATCCAAAAAAACTCGTGATCATATCTCAAGGGGGATGAAATGGTCTGATTTGAATCAGCTAATTTAAGAAAAAGATAGAAATATTACACCGTACCCTTGTTTAATTAATTAATTAATTAATTAATCATTTTCTGAGCTACAAATCAGAGTATTAAATTCAGGTTAAACTAATTTTGTTAGGCGAATTGGATGATAGAAGCTAAATTATAAGGTAAATCTATGACTTAAACTTTGTAAAACATGTCCTATACATAAGCTGTATTTTGAAATAATTAAAATGGAATAAATTTCAGTTAAAATTAAATATTCCAAGACCCTTGTGCAAAAGATCATTTCACAATACTATATCTTATATAAATTCATTTCATAATACATGCTTTGATAAGACCATGATGTCTTAAATTTCCTTGTATAGAAATCGCGGCATACAAAATAATCTAGCTTTAATCCCTATAACATATTATTCCATTTATAATAATCACTGACAAAATAATCTTTAATGATACGTAATATTCCTTTCGTCCCTAGTAGTTAGTGAAGGGGCACAACCCTAACATCGTCCAAGACAGGACCACACATGTGACTAAAATCAACTGTGTTGTGATAATAAGAACTCCAAAAGGTTAATCTAGTTCTATCTGAGATTGCCTTAAATTTAAGACTTGCAGAAGTGAAACCACCCTTTCCCTTGGATTCATAATTAACTTTAACTGTATCTTTGGCCGCAAATGCTTCCACTAGCATAGGTCCATTGCATCCATTTTTGGCATCTCCGATTTTGAAGGTGAGGAGGTAGAATTGATCTTGTACCGTTCTTATGATTTGAGCTATCGCGCTCTCTCTTCCTCCTACTAATTCGACAGCAAAGGATCTTGAGGGCACAAAGAAATATGTTGAATCAATGTACTTGACTGGTTTTAGTGATTCAATAATCCAACCAGGAAGTGGAGTGATATAATCATGGGCATGTGGAAGGAGGAGGACTCCTGTTGAGAAATTTTTGAACACATGTGGACCGATTTCAAAGTCTCCATTTTTCACCATGTTTCCTGAAAAAATTGAAGCATACGAAAAAAAAAATAAAAAAAAATCTCTAAAGGTTATAAACTGATAGGCTTCATCCATCAGCTTAAGTTTTTGATTGAGTTACTATTTAATTTGTGTTATTCTACCAAAGAGGTCAATCTGGGCCTAGCGAATGTTATGTAACAATTGTAAGTCACTCGGACAAAAATATATAATTGCATTACATGTTCAAATTGATCTTACCTATGGGTTTAGGAAGTGGCGCCATCTCTTTGATTGCAATGGCATCTAAAAGCGGTCCACATTCAGGGTCTTCTTCCTTACCCGGGTTATGAAATGCAACCTTAACAATTTGAGAAGTGGCCTTGAAAGCCCAAGCATAAGTATCTCCTCCATTGCTACTATACAACGTTTGGATGGGTAAATCCGCGGAGTCATTAGAAGCTGAAACACCTAAGACCTCATCTAGGGCACAAGTTCTTGTTGCACTAAAGGTAAGGGAGTAATATGACCCTTTCTTAACTCTCACATATTGATGTACAGAGGCCTCATTCCCTAGCCTTATAGCGTGGACACCTCGTGGAACCGCGAAGAAGAAGCCACCCGGTTGAGGTCCACCTGATATGTACTCTACTAAGCCCTTCTTCACCCATTTTGGGAGGGAGTATTTTCCTTTGATTACTGTACCCTTTAAGTCTGATGGCTTTGGTCCTTGTTCAAAGTTTCCATTTGGGAGAAGTCCTGTATGTAACATATTATAAAAATGTTAAATGTTGAAGCCTCGGTACTAGATTGAAAATCTATTAAGTAACTCAAATTTAACACGCACCTCAACTTCTTGGACTCAACATGTACACTCTTACTTCATACTTGTAGTGATGAGTTACTAGTACTAGCTAAAAAATTTGAAGTTCTTACTGGGATCAATGTTTAGAGTGAGACGTTGAACGTGGTATTTTGAAGAGTTACAGATATATATGGCTTTTAGGTGATGTATATATGCTTTAAAGATATTATCTAAATTGATTTATTTAGGAATATATGACAAATTAAAAATATCATATGTTGATTGACGATTTGACGTAATATATTTACTTTTGTCTATGCATATATATCGACCTATACATAAAAATTTACGGTGAATGATTAGACCCATTTTCATATGAATATATGTTCGGAGTATGAACTTTGCATAATGTTCTAGCTATTACGTTGGTAGAGCTGTCAAAAGCTGACCCGACCCGAAATACCGATTCGAACTCGATTATTAACTGACCCGTCAAATCCGGAAAAATGATGACCTGAACCCGATATGACCCGACTTGAAACCAACCCTTGACCCGAGTTAACCCGAGTATTTGAGACCCGAACCCGAATATGAACCGACCCGGAGATGACCCGACCCGAATATAACCCGTAAAATATTGACTTAAACCGAACCCGACCTGAACCGAAATTGACCCAAACCCGTTTTAACCCGTCAAAACCCGAATTTAACCCGACCTGAATTCAACCCGACCTATTCCTAACCCGACCCGAATGTAACCCGACCTATTACTAACCCGACCCGAATGTAACCCGACCTATTACTAACCCGACCCGAATTTAACCCGACCTATTACTAACCCGACTTGAAATTCAACCCGATCTGTCACTAATCCGACCCGAAATCAACCCGACTTGTTATTGACCCGAAATTAACTAGCAATCTAAGATTACGTCATATCTTTTTTGTTTTCCCCCTAATTCTATGAGTTATTTTCCTATTTAAGCTTATTCAAATATTTTCAATAAAATTCTCTATTATCAAATGTATTACAATTTATATGTCTCAAAAAAAGCTATAAAAATTTATGAATACCACTACTTTTTGGATGCATGCGCATTCTTTATTTAAATTTAGTAATTATGATTTACGAATACTACTACTTTTTAAGTGCAAGTTCTATCTATATTTCAATTAAGCAATTATGGTTTACGAATACTACTACTTTGTAGGTGCATGTGCATTAATGTAGTCAATTACGGTTTACAAATACTATTTGACCTTAGGCTTGTTTGTTTTATCTTATATTTTATAAAAAAAAAGAGTTAAAATAAATAATAATTTCGGATAATGATTAAATTGAACGAGATAATGATTGAATGCGAGCATGAGTATATGACAACGACCCGATGATAATCTGACCCAAATAATTTACCTGTACCCGATCATGACTTGACTTGTCTAGACTTGAGAAAGTGGTGATCCGAACTAGAGCTGTTAAAAGGCTTTTATTGGTCTTTTATTTTTCTAATTTTATTATTCATTTGTCTATTTAATCTTATATAAATGTTTTGAATAATGCCATTTAAATGTTTTTAAAAAATGCCATTAAAAAAAAAAACGTGAACTCGGATATGAACTTATAAAAAATAAATAAGTTTAGATAATTTCAAATAAAATAAGTTTAAAAAAAAAATTCTTGTATTTTAACTTATCTAAACTAAACCTATTTTATCTGAATTTATATGAACTTATTGCATTTTATCTAAACATGTCATTTCGAATATGAAATTATCTGAAATTGTTATCCTTATAATGAGTGGAATCAATGTGAATAGATTAGAATAGGCTTTGAACTTATCTTCTAAAAATCTAAACTAAACCTATCTTATTGGAATTAATATGAACTTATTATGTGGATCTTATCTTAACTTATTAGAACTTATTACCTCGTTTTAAACTTATCTGAAACTATTTCTCTTACAATAAATGAAGTAATTGATAATGATTAAACGTGAATGACATTACATCAACTGTTAACAAACCGACCCTAAAAATGTACCAGAACCTGATATGACCCGACCTGAAATCAACCCGATACCCAGATTATCCCAATATTTGAGACCCGAACCCGAGACTCAAACCCGAACATGACCTGACTTGGAAATGATCCGGCCTGAATATAACCTGTAGTTTTTTTACTTGAACCAAACCCGACTTGAACCCGAACATGACTCGCTTGTAAATGACCCGACTTGATTGTAACCCGCAAATAATTGACTTGAACTGAACCCGACTTGAACCCGAGAATCACCCAACTTGGAAATGACCTGACCTGATTATAACTCGCAAATTATTGACTTGAACCGAACCCGACTCAAACCCGAGAATGACCCGACCTGATTATAACCCGCAAATTATTGACTTGAAACGAACCCGAGAATGACCCGACCTGATTAAAACCCGCAAATTATTGACTTGAACCGAACCCGAGAATGACCCTAACCCGTTTTAACCCGAATTAAACCCGACCTATTATTCACCCGACCCGAATGTAACCTGACCTGTTATGAACCCGACCTAAACCCGACCCAAACCCGATAAGATGTATGACCCGACGTTAGCCGACTCAAGCATGACCCAACCCGAACCCGACCCGTATAGGTTACGACATTAACCCGAAATAACCCGACCCGAGTTGACCCGACCTACACTTACCCGACCCAAACCCAACCTGTTTACCCAAATTGACAGCTCTATACGTTGGTCCTTTAAATTAAGTTTTTGCAAGTAAAACATAATGCATAAAAAAAAAAAAAATATACTAAATGAGAGCATAAACATTAATAACATTTTAAACAATGAACAAGTGGTAATTAAAATATACACGAACTACTTCGTAAACACTACTTGAATAACACACAAAATCATTTATGCAATATCTACTAAATTATGATAAAGTCTTAGGCAACTAGGCAAGGATGCATGAAACCCAATAACTCAAATTAAATCTCGTCTACATTATTACACCCTCACTATTACTATACGCAATACTGTCAATTATTACTCACCGTCAAGCACAGTAGCATTGATTGAAGAAGCAAAATAATCACTGCAGCTTATCAAGACGAATACGAAAACAAGACAAAGCAAAGATGAAGCCATTTTGAGAGAGAAAATGAGAGTAAAAGATAACAACCGAGGTCTCAAAAATGTGCACTTGATCTAAACAATGTGATTAGTAATTTATACTCCAGAGATGCTGTAGCATTATTGAATGTTATCATGAAAAGAGTAAGGAATTGAGTGAAATGAATTGGAAATTGAAATAATCTCGTGGTTTAGTCCACTATATAAGCCGTGAGTTATGTTTGATTGCCTCTAATATCCTTCCTCTTTCTTTCTAAATTGGTGTATTAATAAGCTTCGTTTTACAAACTTATCTGGGGGAGCTTGTAACTCTGTAGTCAACTATGACCTTCAACTTCAAGCTAGACATATCGTTCCGTTCAGAATTGTTTTCTTTCTTATTTAATTTCGTGTTGTATACTTTGGTGTATAGAAATCCACGGAGGCATAGATAATACATCAAATCAATTGTTAAGTGCAAATGTGAGTATTGTTTGTCCCACACTAAAAAGAAAGTACAGGGCTTTCAGTTTATAACCTAAGAGTGCTAATCCTGATTGATTATCAATTGGTTTTAGGATGGAACCTCACTTTAGGATTCTGATATTGGTTTTTTTTTTGTTCCTCCCCTTTCCAAACTATATACTTGTATTTGTTATGAATTAAACCTTTAACCTTTAATAAAGCTTTTTAATACTTCGTATAATAATACTATACATAAGTAGAAATCTGTTCAGAGTATTACACTGCAACCATTCATATAAGCAAATAATTTTTTTTCCTTCATTCTTTATTTATTGTATACCAGTTAAGTAATATAAACAAATAATCCTACATGTGACAAATACTTCAAAGAACGAACTCAAGAATGATTATTAGAAAGCCACCTTGGCTCAAAATTCCAAATAGCACTTACACAAGATTCCAATCTTCATATATTAAAAGCTCCATATTGAGTGCCATGAAAATCCAAACTAACTTAATTAACATTTATTAATGAAATGTAACGAGAAGGTCAGAAAACAAATAAGCTATTGTATCGTAGTTGAATTGATGTGTAATTCAGGGTAGTGATATATGAAGTCATTAGGACTACAAATAATATACATCTAATACTTTTTCTGAATGTACTAATTTTAACAAGGTTTAATACGAATTTCTTAAAAGTGTGTACATGTCATAAGTAAAATGTTGTTGAGCTACTTTCATTGTATATTTAATGATGTTTATGGATAAAGTTATACATTGAGATACACAAGTTATAGTGTTACGCTATTTAGATAGGAGGCCAACCTTAGAGTAGCTTGTATCATGGAGTCAATGAAGACATCTTTGCTTACATCTCTTTGCAACACGTCCAACTATCCATATTAGCCATTATGTTCAAAAAAATTGTGTAGTATGTAGAGGTTATTGTTGAGGCAAATATTGTTCTTTGCTTACAAGTTAAATACCCTATCTTGTTCTAGAGTATTAGGGAGTTGCCCCTAGAATTACCGAATTAAAAAATTGATAACCTTACTAACGTAACAACACAACAAACAATAAGGAAGCTTTCCCAAAGAAAATAAAACAAGTTAGATTGCTTAAAGAAATGAGTAGATAAACATATAACGAAAGATACAAATGCATTCCATCAATTAAAAGATAGAGTCAGGTCTACAATTGTATAAGTTGAAGGGGAGGTTACCTCCATGATTATACAATTGAAAAAGACGGACAACCTTCAATACATACTAAGAGAAACTACCCTATCGCTTGGCTACTAAGCCAAGGGAAACTAAGAAAGCTTAAAAAGAAATTAAATGTTCATTGTTGATTGTTTTTGCTGATGTCCTTCCTTCGATCTTCATGCTTCTATTTATTGGCAAATTGGAGCGGTTATGGTTGATTCTCATAACTGTTGTGTAGTTATGTTTCTCTGCGCCAACTATCTTTGAAAAATAAATTATCCACTTTGCCTCCAAACCGGTTTTTTCAGCATTGAGCCTTTAGATAATACCAGCACATTTTCATCATTTCCTTGCTAGTTTAGCCCGAAACCTTTCATTGACTCTAAAGTCCAACTTACTTGGTCAAAGTCAAGAAAAAGTCAATAAAAGTCAAAAATCTGATTTTTGGATGTAACAGTTATGTAGCTTAGAAAAAGGTTATGCCCCTTTTTCTCCTACTGAATGTGGGAAAAATTCTCTTTCATCTGTTAACTTGTTCTTTTTGTTTAATTTGATGGCTTTGTCCCCTTCTTCATTGTTCCCATATCATATAGAAAATGGAATCCTAAAGAAAGAGATCTCTTTCTTTAGGCTCCCTAGCTAGCAATGTCTCAGATCAAGATAATTCGATCATCGATCATCTCTGATATGAAATAAAGCCTCCATGAATAATGAACAATAATTGTGAGTTACTTCTTTGGGTGTGTTATGATTTTTACTTATTTGAACTTATATAAACTTAACTGAGCTTATCTAAATTTAATAGAACTTATTAAAACTTATTTTAGTTGTAATTTGTACTTGGTTAACCCTTATCACACTTATTTTTCATGAATTTATCTTATCTAAACTTATCTTAACATATCAGAACTTATTAAACCTAAAACAAGTGAAAATAAGGTGAACATAACAAGTGGCCCTAAATATTCCCAAAAATAGAGAATAATTACAACCAATAAACACTAACCAACTTGCATGAAAACGTCTCGTTAGGGGCAACTTGTCCAATTAGAGCCACACCATTCTTAAAGGCATTACGGAGTACAAATTAAGTGTTAATATTTTTTGTTGAAAGGATTTGCATGCATCTACATTAATTATTATAAGTAGCAAATAATTGAAGAAGGAAGTTAGTTCATGGAAGCAAACACATTTTATTTAACTAATGTGCAATGGAGAATAAAGTTACTACAAAGAATACAATAGCCTCAATAATGTACACATAACATATAAAGGTAAGTAATTCTAAATTATTACACGTATATTTCATGATATTATGAATAAATTTTATAAAATTCATGCACCGAAAATCATTTTAATTGTGTTACTATAGCAATAATCAATAAAGAGGTACCACCTTAACATCATCCAAGACAGGACCACACATGGATCCAAAATCATGAACTTTAGTGTGATACATTGAGCTCCAAAATGTTAACCTAGTTCTAAATGACATAGCTTGAAACTTGAGACTTGCATGTGTAAAACTACCCTTTCCACGAGACTCGTGGTGAGCAACCACATTTTCCATTGCCGCGAATGCTTCCACCATCATTGATCCGGTGCAACCATTCTCCGCGTCTCCAATGGTGAAGGTTAGGAGGTAATGCTTGTTAGGAATTGTTCTTATGATTTGAGCTATCGCGCTTTCTCTTCCTCCGATCAACTCAATAGCAGCAGACCCTGAAGGTACAAAGAAGTGCGCTGAATCGACGTATTTCACAGGCTTAAGAGATTCAACAATCCAGGCAGGGAGTGGTGAAACAACGTCCATCGCATGTGGAGATATAAGTACACCGGTTGAGAAATTATTGAATACATGAGGACCAATTTCAAAGTCCCCGTTTTTAACGATATTTCCTGCAAAGAGTAATTGCCATAAGTAATTTTGAAAAGAAAATCGAATGCAATGCAAGTAGATGAAGGATAAAACATAAGCTCTAGGTACTAAAATATGTTCAAGCTGATATAGTCTAAATTTTCAATATTAATCATATTGCTCAGTCCCCTCAACGCGCGTATAGTTAAATATAAAATCAATGTTCACTTATGAAAACCATATTAATTTTTGCTAATCAAAATTGATCTCACCTAATTGGATCACTAGTTCTATATATTTTCATAGAAGTGTTGGATAATATTCCTCCTTATTATTAGAATTTGCTAAAAATAAATAAAGGAGAATTTACAAGAAAGAAGAGAAAAAGAATGAGAGGAATAAAAGGAGAGAAAAAGAAGGAGAGTAGTAGGAAAATAAGAAATAATCAATGGCAAATTATATAACGATAATTTGCATCATTAGTTATTTAGATATAGGCTGATTATAAATATGTAATCAGATTATTTGTTAATTGTAAATTGAGATAGAATTTGTATCACATTATTTTTGATAAATAGAAACACAATTTAAATTTGAGAGTATACCATCGAATATTAGTTTATAGTTTATAAACACTTTGTAAGTTAATCTATTATGTTATAGAGATATAATTTTTACCTATTTTGTTTATACACAAAGGGAAAGTAAATATTATTTCCGTTGCAAGATTATTTGTGATCTTTCCCAAATTAATGTTTACTTATGAAAACCATATTAATTTTTGCTAATCAAAATTGATCTCACCTAATTGGATCACTAGTTCTATATATTTTCATAGAAGTATGTAGTTACTCATCATGAGTATTGATTTATTACTTTTATGTTGTATACAAGTATACATTTATAGAAAAGCTTAAACAGGACATTAGGTCTACAATATTTTATAGAAACTTTTTAAAAAATTTATATATAAATACGGAGTAAAAAGAAGCTAAGAAAATTGTAGATATAGAGTATTCACTTTGTCTCTAAAGCTCTTTCTATATAGACGATGATTGTCTCACAAAAAAAGTTAAAAACAAAAAAACAATTTAGAGACAAAGAAAGTATTAAGTAAATGGTACCTATTGGTTTGGGGAGAGGCAATATCTCTTTGATAGCAATAGCATCCAAGAGTGGTCCACAAGTAGGATCTTCTTGAACATGAGGATTGTAGAAAGTGACCTTAACAATATTAGAACTTGCTTGAAATGCCCAAGCATAGGTATCCCCTCCATCACTACTATACATTGTTTGAATGGGTAGATCCGTGGTTTCTTTTGAAGCCGATACCCTTAAAACCTCTTATTCTATACAAGTCTTTGTTGCACTAAATGTGAGAGAGTAGAATGATCCTTTTTTAACTCTTAAAAATTGGGATATCGAGGCTTGATTTCCTAACCTTATCGCATGAACGCCACGTGGAACAGAAAAGTAGAAGCCACCTGGTTGTGGTCCACCTGATATATATTGCACTAAGCCCTTTTTCACCCATTTAGGTAGGGAATATTTGCCAACAATTACCTTCTTGTTGAGGTTTGATGGTTTTGGTCCTTCTTCAAAATTTCCATTGGGAAGAAGTCCTATATATTTGGGAAAAATAAATCAAGAATTAGAATCCTAGTGTATAGATGTATGATTAGAAAAAAAAAATGATCAACACAAAATTTGAACTTCTATTATTTGGTATAAATATGATTTAATTACATGAAATAATGTTGGGGAGGAATTTTTGTTGAGTCCATGAGCAAACCCACATGTGAGTGAAAGTGTTGTCTCACATTGAAAGAGTATAAAAGTAAAGATGAATATTGGGATGTGTATCCCACATAGAAGAAAAGAGAAAGTCGTGTCTACTTTATAAGGCTAAGGTGCTACTCCCCTCATAGCCATATGGTTTTGAGGTGGAAGCTCCTTGATTGTATAAAGTGGACACTTGTGACGGGTGTGGTCCAAGTCCATTTATCAATTTTCATTTTTTTCTAAAATAATAATGACTTATGATTTTTTTTCTCCTCATCTTATTTTTGATGAACTTTAGGCTAAGTTTTTGCTTACTATGACTCATTAATTTCAATTAAAATTTAATTATTCTAGTAAATTAAGTATACTATCGTCATATCTATCTTAGTGAAAATTCAGTTGAAAAAAATGCATGCAATAACGTTTCATTATAGTCAATCAATTGTTCTTTGGGTTGGTACAATGTATACCACCTATCTTGATCCGTCATACAAGAAGATCGACCAAACCATTATTTGTGAGCTCAATGCAACTATATGCAAGTGGTAGGTCGTAAATTACTTCACATGCACTCTAATGGAGGACTTGAACTTGTAAGGAGGGACATCATCGCATTGTTAATTAATTATGCATTACTCGAAGAAAAAATTACACATATTTGTAACAAGTGTAAGTGTGTATATATACTTTAACTAACTAATTAAGCTAATTTTTCAGTGTACAATAATGTTCTATTTGCAATGGTTGTGAATTTGTGATGTCGACATGAATTCATCATTAAAAAAGATCAATTTTGCATCGAAACAATGACTATATTTGCTATTAAAGTACTTGCAAAATTATAAAAATAAAATAAAAAAATTACAATATAATAATATTTGCCGAACTCACCATCGCGAGGGGCGGTGTTAACTGGAGAAGCAAAATAACTGCTGCTGCTTATCAACAAAATGAGCATAACAAGGCAAAGATTTTGATAAGAAGCCATCATAATTTTCTTGTATAAGAGAGAAATAGAGAGTGAAATAGGGAGAGAAAGAGATCCCTAAATTATGCAATTGCAATGAACGATGGAAAATAAACCATATAAATAAGCTGTTAATTCACCATCATGATACTAGCATTGATTGTGAAATAATGACTTGAGAAATATATGCCTTGAGAGGTGTTAAGTTGTCTCCTTTTTTGCGTTCTAGGTTTTATTCTCTTAACTTTTTTACTTAACTATATATTCAATTCGTTTTATTTAAAATATGCATTGCATGAAAGCGGATAGGACACAAACACAGAGAGGTAACAACAAAAGAGATTGGGATCGAGATACAATATATTTAATTTTGTTGTATTTACATGTATGTAATTTAGTGTATTATTGGAAAATGATACATTATTCATATATAGTCAAATGAACATACATGTCTTATATATATTTAAACGACTAAATAAATGAATTGAATAAGTAATAAATTCAGTGGTGCGTTAATAGATATGTGTCGATAATAAGTTCGATATTCATAGACAACAGATACGACGCGAGTAATATCATATTGAAAAGTAATTAAATATTCAAGATAATGAAACCTTTTAAAATTGATTATAAAAGTAGTCTTCAAGTATTATTCAAAGAGTGAAATTAAATTAAACTGGTGTTGGAAAGTGTCTGGTTTGTGTCTACAAATTTAAAGCAAATAATGAAATAAATTAAATCTACAATGTTGGGATATGGCTAACAATACAACGATGCATGTGAACCATGCATCCATGCATCTTCCAAATGAAAAGTCAACACCTCAATATAAAAAAATATAAAAAAGTCAAAGCAATCAAATTATGCATTCGTTGAACTTAAACGGACTTAATTTGTATTTTGTAAGCTGTTATTACTTATTAGCTCATTCGCCTCACTGTCTCATAAACTTGAACAACACTATACTATACATGATTCTCTGGTTCTGTCAAAAAAAAAAAAAAAAAGAAATAAAAAGAAAGATTATCTAGTCGGTACACTTAGGTTGTAAGTCAAAGGGTGTAACTTTATAAGTGGAATAAATGAGCGATTTCCCTTAATATTGTTGAAACAAAAATAAATTCTCATTATGCACCGATTTAAAAATAAATTTTCAAAATACCGTCCATGTAAGATTGGTTCTTAGTTCAGCTTAAAACAGGTAATATCATCAACGGTATAAGTTAAAACCGCTAATAATATTAGTGGTTTTACATGTTTTTAATAGAGGAAAAGAGACCTGTTTTTAGTAAAATCGGGTCTCTTTGAACTTTCAGTGTAATGTTCCCGCTCTCTTTCCTGCTTTTGGCTAATGGATGTGTGAGTTAACTAAGGAGGCAAGGAGAGCTGTTTTTAGATAAAATGAGTCTCTTTTCTTAAACTGCTATTGCCATTAACAGTTTTAAAATTACAACCGCTATTGCCATTAGTGGTTTTAAGCTAAACCAAATGAAAAAAAATTAACACCCAACCGCTATTGTTATTAGTGGTTTTAAGCTAAAGCAATGCACAAAGAGAATTTATTTTTATTTCAACAATATCGTGGGAAATCACTCCTAAATAGCTAGTAGTCATATAAGTTAAATTACATGATAAGATAAGTACACTTAAATTAATTTGTAAGTCAAATGAGTTATTGGCTTAGATTTATATAGGCACGTGACCTCATGCAATCGATAGGCTGGAGTAAGTCAAATTACACCAAGAGTACCTTAGAAGTGTGTCGTTAAAAAGTATTGACCTTTGAGTTGGAAGTCTTGTTAGTGTATGAGTAATTTATGATTATCAAAACAACACAAATTTAAAGACAATGATAATTGATCATTCATATAAGAGTACAAATACAAGCAAGTAGGAGATTTTAGAGAAACAAAGAGGCTGACGATCGAATTAGATCCATAGAGGATCGGACGAGTTACCTCCATGATTAATTATCACAAATGAAATTGAGCAACTGCTTCAAGTGATTGTAGCATACTAATGCAGTAATGCTAACGCTAACACTAACACTAAACTAATCTAGGCTGCTATGCCTAGAATGCTAAGAACTAAGAACTAAGAAGGGCTATAGTAAATGTTAAATGTAATTTTGATTGTTTGATCTGATCTGATCTGATCTGATGTCTGGAATTCTAGATCTACGTTCTGCTATAATAGAAGTCTTATATATCAATTATCAGAACGTGGGATGACGATTCTCTGATCTTGCAGTTATTTTCCTTTCTTCAGTGGTCGTTACTGGTTAGACTGCTCTTTCCTTTGGTGCTTATACTGTTGAAAATTTGGCTGAGCTTCCTTCTTTCTTTCATTAGGATGTTTGATTTTATTGCTAAACTTTGTTGACTCTGTCCATTGTATATTTGGGTTGTATGGTCTTTATTATTGGGCTTTATTGATTCCAAAGTCCATCATAGATTGAGCCTGAACCTTTAAAGTCTTAGTATAATACTATGTAATACATGGTAATGTGGAATAATTAATGGTCGAAATTGTCTAAATTCAAACAGAAGTATATGTATGTTGTGTTTGTTGTTCAAGATCATTATCATATACGGAGTATGAATCCTATTCTGATGTCAAAAACGTTACTCTATACAGAGTATATCGTTAACTAAGATGATCTTTATACAACGAAAAAAATGAAAATTTTACGGTAGTCGTTTGAAATATAACTACCATAATCTTTTGATGATTATATGGTTTATAATTGACATATTTTTCTAAGTAATTAATTATATTACTTTATTAATGGTATTAAATAGTATTATCAACATTTTTTTGATTTATCAAATTTTTAGTTTCATTTATGTAATTTTTATTCTTATTTTACAGTTTCTCAAAAAATATTTATTATATGTCGAATGAAAATTTTCAAAATTTATACTACCTCCGTTTCATATTATTTGCAACAATTAGACACTTTTCACTCACACTTTATGTCAAATCGTTTTGCAAATAATATGAAACGGAGGTAGTATTTACATTGTAGATATTATAAGACTAATTATGGCTATTTTATAACGTGAAAAAATGAACCGATCATATTATATATCATTAAAATAATACGGTAGTCATTTTTCAAACGACCACTATAAAATCATCCAAAAATGAATGTATTGACGTTGAAGTTTATTCATGGTAAAATATATATACATACTAGTGCATTGTCTAATAAAAATTCAAAAGCTCCATGTTACCTTTTATCAAGTTGTTAATTGATTGATTGATTGAAACCCACATACAAAATCATAATAATCACTTTTGTAAGCAAACATATAGTGGTTTATTCAAACAGACTTAATGTTACATAATTAAGAAATTAACAATATTTTAAAGATTGAGGACTGATTATATACTCTAATAATTTAGATGAGCACACTCTCCTATCACTTAATTTAAGTATGATCGCTATCATACTTGTATATGTGACTATTAATTTCCGATACCAGGATTCAATTTTACGATCTCTTGCAATTACAGAGCAGGTACAACCTTAACATCATCCAAGACAGGACCACAGAAACGGTTGGTATCATCAATAGTAGTATGATAAAACACACTCCAAAATGCTATCTTAGTTCTAAATGAGACAGCTTTGAACCTAAAATTTGCATAAGCAACACCACCTTTGCCTTGAGACTCATACTGAGCTTTGATGGTTTCTTTATCGGCTGCTGCTTCGACCGCCATAGAACCAATGCAACCATTTTTGGCATCACCAATAGTGAAGGTAAGGTTATAAAAGTTGTTTGGTGTTGTATCTATGTCTTGAGATATGGCATTTTCTTTTCCTCCGACTAAGAGTTCAACAGCAGAAGCTCCTGATGGTATAAAAAAGTCTTTTGAGCCGATATACCTAATGGTATACCGGGATTCGATCCTCCAACCTGGGAGTGGAGAAATAGGGTTCAAAGAGTATGGATGAATGTAGACCCCTGTTGTGAAATTCTGTAAAATATGAGGACCAATTTCGAAGTTTCCATTTTGTATGAGGTTGCCTGCAAAAGGAGTGTAACCAGAGTAAGTTCAAATTCATAAAATTTAACTCATCCTTACATAGAAGAGAAATGTATTACTATCAGCTTTTCTTTTTTAGTTCCTCTCAATTATGAATGTAGCTTTGATTAATAAATTTAAGAAAATCACATTATAGAAAGTAAGAAATTAATTAAATACTATTAGATCATACAAAAATTGAATAGATGTTGTCACAATAGAAATTAGAAATAAAGTAAAAATAAGGTGTAAAATTCAAAAAATCGATGAAAATTGAAAATGTTTGCTTGAATCAAAGTAAGAAGTGAGGTGATTCATGATTGTTGTAATTCTGTAGGTCCTCGCCATGTCCAAGTGCACGGTATATGCTTGCACGCTTTAGGAGTTTTACATACTATCTCCGTTTTTAAAAATTCGACTCACTAACTATTCATATGGTTGAAACAATATAACTTTGACCACATTCTATATATGCATGTAGAATATTATTAGATTCTCCTTAATATAAATTTTCCAAATATCAACTTTGTATTATTTTCATTAAAGTTATTTATGATCAAAGATGATGTCCACGCAAACGCAAAAGTAAGTCGAAATTTTACGAATGGATGGAGTATAATTGTTTGTGGGGGGTGGTCTGAGGTCAATTAACCCCAATTAAAATTGAAAATTTTGGGAAATCATCTCATAAATTTAAGAATTTTTCATAACTTTTTAACTAATTAAACCTAAACATCAAATTAGATCATCAATTTTACTTTGACACCACTAAATATTACTAAATACTCTGTATTTCTAAAAACGCCATCGGTCCCTCTTCCTCTTGTAACGCTCATGAAACCATATTCAACAATTAACAAAGAATAGTATAAAATAAATTATGAAAATTGATTGAACTAACTATTGAATGATTAAGACAGTAAAAATTACCTGATGTTTGAGGTGATGGCAATAATTCCTTAACCGCAACAGCTTGTATAAGTGGTCCACAAGCGTAGTACTTTGGGTGACCAGTTGGGTTAGAAAACATAATGAAAGCAGTATTACTAGAAAAGGCCCGAAATCCCCAAGCAAAAGTGTCTGCTTCTTTCCTTGAATATAATGCTTTATTAGGAAATGCAAAATCTGCTGTATCACTATAAGAAGTTGTTACCCTAAGATACATATCTAGTGGACAAGTCCTTGTTGCACTAAAACTAACAGAGTAGTATGCCCATGGCTTCACTCTAAGGTATTGTAGTATGTATGCCTCGCTCCCTATGCTCACCGCGCGCACGCCCTGTGGAACGTCGAATGTAAACCCGACTCGTTTAGGTCCACCTGATACGTATCGTACTTCACCCTTCTTCACCCATTTGGGGAGGGAGTATTTTCCTACTATTGTTGTTTTTTTGAGATTTGATGGGTTTGGTGCTTCATCAAAATTCCCATTTGGTAGAAGACCTGTTAAGAGGGAACAATTGGAAATTCTTAGTTTGTATTAGCTAGCGTATGATTCATGTCGAATAATAAATATATGAAGTATATACCAAGCAAAGTTTAGTCTAATAGAAAAATTTGTCGTCATCTTACAACTAAATTGTTGTATGGGGACAAATGAGCTGAGACTACAAGAGAATACATTATCGTTACTAGTAGAATGGAACATGTATAAATTTGAATTATGTTAGCACTTTATTTTTGCACTTTAATTGGTGAAAACACGTATTAAGCACAACACTCTTATAGAATTTCTTATTAAGATTTAATAGATTTTCATACAAAAATGCTTAATTACAAAAAGGTAGGCTAAACTCACCGTCACTAGGAGCAACGCTCACTGGAGCAAGCTGAGCAGAAATATAAGTAATACGACTATTTATCATCAATAAGAGTATCACAAAGCAAAGAGAATGAAATGAAGCCATTGTTTTTCGAGAGGAAGAGAGGAGCCCAAATGTGCAATGAAACTGGATAATGAGACTAACACTATATAATACTCCGTACTTGTGTTACATACGGATTAGTAATTAAGAATTAATATGCAAGCTACAATTGAGTTTTAACTTGTGAAAAGGATTTCCTATTACAATTTATAAAAAAGAAAGGTATATACGTATAATACTTCGTAAAAGATAAGACAATCTTCTCTTAATATTGTAAGCCAACATATAAAATAAGAAAATTTACTACTCTGTCTGTGTTTTAATAAGTGTTACACTCCTTTTCTTTAGCAAAAAAACTACGTTTTAATATTATATATTTCTCCTTTTATGGTCCCTACCCAAACCCACTACTACTTTTTTTTTTATTATTATTATTTCTTTCATCTCACAATCATTACTTTTTAATAAACTAATAACCCCACCATCTTTCTTTTACAATTTTTTAATATTCCAAACACCCCACTTACCTCTTATTTTATTTAAGTCAATTAAATTGCCTAAAATTATGTACCGATTAAAGTGTAATACTCATTAAAACACGGAGGGAGTACTCGTATCTTTAGGTGTACTATGTGTTTTGTGTAAGGAATTCAAATTCAGTGTAAACTGATTTGCACGTGATCCGATTGATAAAGTCTCCTCTTTAAGAGATGACTTTGATCATTTGCAAATTGCAATACCAAATACATATCCAATAACTCAAATGAAGTAGCAGACAATTTATCTAGGAGTAGTGTGCACCATGGGTCACGTATATGATATATTTATATAGAGAGTAGTAATCCATTTACATAAAAAATAACATTATTATATATATATATATATACACACAGACACATACCATTAATTAGCTAGGCATTATCCTCTACGAATATAATTTCCAATCTACTACTTGTTATTACTCTATTAGTACATGCATGATGCATGTGCACTAATATTTATAGCACTTTCATTCTATAACTTAGTCCACTTCTTCCCTTATTAAGTGCCATAGCTGATGCCGGAAAATCCAATAATATACATGTTCTTATCATCCACCATAGACCATGATTTGTCCCCCGAACGTGCTTCTATATTGATCGTCTATATGTATATCAAAATATCATTTAGTAGCGGTGATTTTAATAAGGGATGTTCACGGATCTAAATTCTAACATCATAATTATTGAGCTGAACCAAAATATTTCCTAGACTCGTAGACCTAACTAGGCTGAAAAGTCCGGCATTAAATCCATTAGGAAAAGGCCTTGATCTGATATCTGACCCTGGTTTCAATTTGGCCCAATTGTTTCTTGGCCCAAAGAATTGAGTAACCCATTAATTTTTAAATTCACACTCCAACAAGGCCCAACATTACCAGAACAAACCCATAAAACTAAAAGTTCTAAACCCATCTCGAAACACAATTCAGATTTATTTTTCATTTTTTTTTTAATAAATATTGATTCATAAATATAAAGTCATACAATATTTACAAAGAGATTTACATCTAATAAATATATAAAAATAAAATTAAATAAAAATATTCTTTCAGCAGAGCTACGATCGTTGTTGCAAATCGTACATTATTCATACTTTTTTTTCATATCGCTGTGATTTACAGCCTTCTTTGACGAGGGGGTCTATCGATCTGTTGTAGATGTAATTCGTCTTATTGTAAACGAATAATTAACTTTTTTTTCTTCAAAAAAAAATAAATTAACTTTTATTTCGATTCCGCACAAATCTTTACCCATGAAATAACTTGTACCATACTAAACTCAAAAACAAAAACAAAACTGGAACAAAGCCCACCTTAGGGGCACTTATTATAATCAAACCCACGATAGAGGTACTTACTACTTTCAAAGAGTGTAGATTTATTGAACTAAACAACAAAAACATAAACAAACTAAAGGAAAAGGGTCGAAAATAGCCAAATTTCCGGAAAAATTTAACCATTTCTGACCTATAAAACACTTTTTTATTTTTTAGGAACCCTAGAGAGAAAAAATAGAGAGGAGACATTCATTTTTCATTAAGACCCCCATGAGCTAATCAGAATACAATTACTCGTTCTATCCCATAATTTTTTTTTTCTTTTTTTTTTTTTGGTGCCAAAATTGTGCTTGTTTAAAATCTTTTCTAGTTGTCTTTAAAATCATTTGTTTTCACCAGAACTTCCCCCCCCCCTGATCTCAACGTTCATGCATGATTAATTGCAGACTAATCTCAACTTGCTTTAATTATATTCCTTAGAAACAGATAAGAGTTGAATTAGTAAAGTTGCTGCACCCTTAGACTCTACTTTTCTTAATTTACTTGGAAAATGAGAAACAAACACTATTATGAAACAGAGGGAGTACTTTGTGTAAGTTTTAATTTTTTTTAATTTATCTGAACTTATTTGGATTCATTAAACTTTATTAGAATCTATTATAGTTTGTTTGGGTAATGAAAAGGGGAGGAAAAGAAGGGGAGGGAGGGGAAGAGGAGAGAAGGGAAAGGGAGGGGAGGGAAGAATAATGAGTTTTCCCTCTAAATCTCTCCAATGTTGGAGAGATCAAATTCTTACAATTTAATCTCTCCATTTCTCTCCCCTCTAATTTCCTTCATCCCTAATTATTGTTATCCAAATGAAAAATACTTCATCCCTCCATTTCCCTTCCCTTCCTTTCCCTCCATTTCCTTCAATCCAAACACACTCTTATAGTCGTAACTTGAATTTAGATATCCATATCCCTTATATATTGATATTTATTAGACCTTATTTAAATTATTCTTCTTGAATTTAACTTATCACCCCTTATTATAACTTATATTACATATGACTAATTTTTCTTGAGATTAATGGACATGAGGTGAAAAAATACGCGTTATAGTTTTGAGAAGGATTTTTTGTCAGAAACTACCTAATAAAACCTAAATTTTGTGAGAAACTACCTAATAAAAAAATGTTGGAAGAAACTACCTAATAAAAGGTAAACTGTTGTAAGATACTACCTTTGGGCGAATTTCCACCGTTGACCTAATTTTACAGCGTTAACCCACCTCAAAGCACTACTGAAACCACCGCGGAGGTTGGTTTTCAAGGTGGTAAGGTTATGTTCGGGGTGGTTGGAAGATATCTGAGTTAGTGAGGGTAGTTTCGTGCTTCAGGATGGTGGTTTTTGGGGTTAGAGGTGTATTTTACAACATTTTACCTTTTATTAGGTAGTTTGTTACAACATTTTACCTTTTATTAGGTAGTTTCTTACAACATTTTTTTTATTAGGTAGTTTTTCACAAAATCTAGGTTTTATTAGGTAGTTTCCGAATACAAAGAAATGGATATTTCATACAATTTTTCATTTTAAACATAATTATTTTTTTTTTTCAAATTTTCGAGTATCCATTTGATTTGCTTGTTCAAATGTTATTGTTGATGTAAATCAATTGCATATATTAAATGGCTTAATTCAAACATTATTTATGAAGTTCGAACTAACTAAGTACATAAATACACTATATATTCATATTAATGTTATTAATCTGTTGTCCGCACTCTCTACGTTAATTATTTTTTAAGGGTATAACTTGTACAAGCATGTACATAGTATATAGTAAAATCAGTCCATAAATATAAGTTACCCTCAGTTAGAGTTTCCAGTCAATTAATATAAGTTACCCTCGGTTTTCCTGTACATTAATATAAGTTTCCTTATGCACATTACATGCAAATTTTATAATACAAATTGTGCCGGTATAAATTTTGAGCAGTAAAAATGCCAATTTAAATGAACAAGATTTCATAAATCATAACCATTTATGCTTTGATATAATTAATTACTTGGGATGAACATGAAATGAGCATGATCCAACAAGAATGAAAGGGATGGAGAAAATGATGCCCCAAATAGGAGAGACAAATGATGATACAAAGCTCATGATGCATGTCTGCTAAAAGCTAAAGCTTCTTTCTCAATCAATTCTCTATTAGATTCCCACACTGTAATGCTATCTGCTTTATTTTCCCGCCATCCCCCACAAACCCCTTTACCTTTTCCACCTCTTTTTATATATCCGCATATGTTCGGAATTAATGGTCACATTTACTAATTTGAAAAATTATTGTTTTATTAATTAATAAAATACGAATTATTTAATTACAAATTATGATTGGTCAAAAATAGGAATAAATTTACGTAAAATTTATGATTGCAAATTGGTCTCAATATGTCAATACTTGAATTTAATAAACATGTATTATAATGAGTAGTGTTGTTAGGGTGAAAGTTCGGTTTACAGTGTGGTTTATAGTCTAAACCGAAACCAAACCACATTAATTCGGTTTTGGGATTTTTCAAACCACACCGTACCATATTACTATTGAAATCGAACCAAACCACACCGTTTTAAATTCGGTTTTTTAAAAGTAAATCGAACCACGCCGAAATTTTTCATCCTCTTCCTTTTTGCCCATCTAATTGGTCATTCACTCCAACATCGCCCACATTGGTTGACATTCTAGGACATAAAAAAACACAAGTTTTATTATTTTTTGGCTTTATATATGTAGGGAAGAAATTAGTATTGGGCTAGGCTATAATTTGGATATGGGCCACAATTCGGTTTGGATTTTGGTTTTTGGGTTTTCAAATCTTAAAACCGAAACCAAACCATATTAATTATTCGGTTTTGGGATTCCTCAAACCGCACTGAACCATATTAGAAAAAAAAAACCGCACCACATTTCTAATTCGATTTGGTTTACAGTTTGGTTCGGTCTTAACATGCATTAGTTTCACCCCTAAGTGTTGTAGAATGACTAGAATCATATCTTCTTATTTTATTATAAAGATTTTGGACGATGAGATACTTCGATCCGTATTATTTTTACAAAGCAGTGGCAGATTTAGGGGATACACAGAGGTACAGCTGTAACCCCATTCCGTAGGAAAAAAAGAACTTCTAACAAAAGAGACCGCCTATGTCAAATAGGCGGTTTCTTAGATACTGTTACGTTTGCCACAATTGAGCAGCCCGCCTTTTTG